AAGGTCACAGGGGCCTTGACTTCAAAAAGCTTGTTAGCCCAATAACTTAAGATTCCTTTGACCCACAGTCTTCATGTTTGGCATGGAGGCTAGTCATGATAAGTAGATGACCCCTATTGACTTTGAGGTCACCAGGTCAAAGGTCAAGGTAACAGGGGCCTTCACTTCAAAAAGCTTGTCCGCCCAATAACTTAAGATTCCTTTGACCCACAGTCTTCATGTTTGGCATGGAGGTTTGTCATGATTAGTAAATGACCCCTATTGATTTTCAGGTCAAAGGTCAAGGTCACAGTGGCCTTGACTTCAAAAAGCTTGTCCACCCAATAACTTAAGATTCCTTTGACCCACAGTCTTCATATTTGGCATGGAGGCTAGTCATGATAAGTAGATGACCCCTATTGATTTTGAGGTCACCAGGTCAAAGGTCCAGGGTTCCCACGCTGTCCGGGAAAACGGGAAATGTCCGTGAATTTGAAAACACTAGCTCCCGGCCTTGAAAAGTCCGGGAATTAGTGTTGATACAGAAAAAAGTCCGGGAAGGTACGGGAATTAGTCTGGAAAAGGGGCGGTAAATCAAACAACCAAAATGGCGGTCTTAGCACAGTATATATTGATTTCCGCATCTTGAATGTTGATGATTTTTTTCGATTTACAAGTGTTTTAAGAGGCCAATTTTGACATTTATGAGATTTAACATTTATTTTCTGGTTAGTATGGCGGTTTTGTTTGGAAAATCTTATAAGACAGTCACAAATCGACCTCAAGTTTGCTTGATTGGCCTGTGCTCAAAGCACATGAAAAAGATGAAAGCTCACAGGTATGGTTGTTTCCTTGGGCAATGTTTTTTATCCTAATTGCTCACAACCATGCTAAAAGCCAAAGGTATATCAATATAAAATTAACAATAGTATTACATTTACATACATGAACTATTGTAAAGGCAGACTGCACAGCCAATTGGCCACACGGGTAGCACAAAATACCTAAGTATAGCCAATATATACTAAAAATAATGTGTTGTACTAATAAAATTGTGTTTTAATCATGAATACAATATACAATTTCACTAAGACGTAATCAAACATACCCAAATATACATTTTTGAACACCGCCCCCCTCCTGTAGCACTGACTTAAGCAGAATACAACATTTAAACATGAAAGTTGTGAAATTTTGAATGTCAAATCACCTGCAGGCAGTTTTCATAATTATACCCTTCAGTGTGACATGCTTTTGCCATTCTTTGAAGCCTTTAAGTGGACTGAGGTCAAATGTGTGGTAACTTATTTAATAAGTACTATGAATATCTGGTCAAAAAGTGATCCCTTGAAAGCATTAAAAACAGCAAAATTACATGAAAATGGCACACAACCTGCAAAAACAGTTGTACAAAACAAAGTACATTTCATTATTTATAGACACTGAATGTATTTCTTAGATAGAGTTAGATTTATGTCACGAACTATATTTATTATATTGGTGTTGCTAAACAGTACCATGAACATATTCAAAGGACAAAAAAAATCAAATAGCTTGAAATTTTATCTTCTAAAAAGTCCTTAAAAAATCAAAAAAGGTCCTTGATAAGTCCTGGAAAAGTCCTTAAATTTTCAAAATATCTAAGAGTGGGAACCCTGAAGGTCAAGGTCACAGGGGTCTTGACTTCAAAAAGCTTGTCCGCCCAATAACTTAAGATTCCTTTGACCCACAGTCTTCATATTTGGCATGGAGGTTAGTTTCAATTCTTTGTTTTTAGCTCACCTGAGCACAAAGTGCTCAAGGGTGAGCTTTTGTCATCACTCTGCGTCCGTCGTGCGTTGTGCGTCCATCAAAAAAAGGCATCAAACTTTTTAAACAACATCTCGGACTCCTCCTAAATCACATGGCCAATTGCAACCAAACTTCACAGGAATGTTCCTTTAATGGTCACCTTTGAAAATTGTTCAAAGAATTTAATTCCATGCAGAACTCTGGTTGCCATGGCAACCAAAAGAAAAAACTTTAAATATCTTCTTCTAAATTCTAAAAAACCCAAAGAGCTACAGCTTAGATATTTGGCATGAAACATGTTCTAATGTATGTCTATATAGTTTGTTCAAATAAGAGCCCTGGGGTCAAAATTGGCCCCGCCCTTTGGGACATTGATTTGCCTTATATGTGTATATTAAAAATCTTTTTCGAAAAAAACCCGAATAGCTAGAGTGTAAATATTTAGCATGAAACATCTTCTAGTAAGTGTCTACAAAAATTGTTCAAATAAAAGCCCTGGGGTCAAAACTGGCCCTGCCCCAGGGGTGTCATTATTTTTAAATATATGTGTACAGAAAAAACATTAAAAAATTTTCTTTTAAAAAATCCAACGAGCTAGACCTTAGATGTTTAGCATGAAACATCTTTTAATGGGTGTCTACCAAGTTTGTTCAAATAAAAGCCCTGGTTTTTTGGTCGGGTTGCACTGGTGCAAACCCGGGTTATAGTATGGTGAATGTTGGGCGGCGGGCGGGCGGGGGAAAAACTTTTGTAACAGTTTTCTCAGCAACTACTTATCACAGCCTTTTGATATTTGGTATACAGCATCAACACATGGTCCCATACTGTGGGATTCGATATCAGGTCTGTTGCTAATCTACTTCCTGTTTGCCGACCTAGTTAAATTTTCAGCATTAATGGTCCATAGTAGGAAATTTTCGTAACAGTTTTCTCAGCAACTACTTATCACAGCCTTTTGATATTTGGTATACAGCATCAACACATGGTCCCATACTGTGGGATTTGATTTCAGGTCTGTTGCTAATCTACTTCCTGTTTGCCGACCTAGTTAAATTTTCAACATTAATGGTCAATGGTAGGAAATTTCCTAACAGTTTTCTCAGCAGCTACTTATCACAGCCTCTTGATATTTGGTATACAGCATCAACACATAGTCCCATACTGTGGGATTCGATTTCAGGTCTGTCCTTCAAAAAAACTTCCTGTTTGCCGACTTAGTTAAATTTTCTACATTAATGCTCAATGGAAGGAAATTTTCGTAACAGTTTTCTCAGCAACTACTTATCACAGCCTCTTGATATTTGGCATACAGCATTAACATATGGTTCCATACTGATGGATTCGATTTCAGGTCTCTCGCTCATCCACTTCCTGTTTGCCGACTTAGTTAAATTTTCAACATTAATGGTCAATAGTAAGAAATTTCTGTAACAGTTTTCTCAGCAACTACTTATCATAGCCTTTTGATAGTTTGTATACAGCATCAACACATGGTCTCATATGTGGGATTCGATTTCAGGTCTGTCGCTCATCCACTTCCTGTTTGCCGACTTAGTTAAATTTTCTACATTTATGGTCAATGGTAGGAAATTTTCGTAACAGTTTTCTTGGCAACTACTTTTCACAGCCTTTTGATATTTGATATACAGCATTATCACATGGTCCCATACAGTGGGATTTGATTTCAGGTCTGTTGCTCATCCACTTCCTGTTTGCCGACTTAGTTAAATTTTGACATAATTAATGATCAATAGATTGTAGGAAATTTTCATAACAGTTTTTGTCAGCAACTACTTACCACAGCTTCTTGATATGTGGTTCACAGCATTGACATGTGGTCCCATATTGTGGGATTCCATTTCAGGTCTGATGCTCATTCTTTTTCGGTTTACCAACTAAGTTAAATTTTCAACATCAATGGTCAAGACAGTGGTAGAAAAAATTTAAGTAACATCACAGCCTCATGATATTTTGTATACATATGCAACCCGGCCTTTTCTGTCTTTGACCCATTTTTACATGTTATAATCATAATTGAACGATCAGTATTAATGCATTTAACTTTTCAATAGGGCCGGGAATTATATTCGAATATTCGAAACACTACCGAATATTCGAACATTGAAAAACGAATACGAATATTCGAAAAAAAAAGGAGAAATGTTTCATTTTTTGTCATTACATTCAAATTTCAATTCAGATCGTAAATTAAACCTTTGCCCTTTCCTTCACCAGGTGTTCAAATGTTTGTATGACGCGTGTCAACAATTATCGCCAATTAACTGTGAAAACTTTGGGGTATAGTTGATCACAAGGGCACCCGTTTCACAGTTTGCAATTTACCTGTTGAACAGTTTATAATGTAAATTTTTCCGATTTTATTTTTCCGATTTAATTATCTTATTTATTGTTTTCTGTGTTAAAATCTTTCCGATTAATCAATAATTGTCTTAAATTTTGTGAATAAGAATAAATTGGCACGCATTATTCGGTGCGTTATGAAAGCATATGAAGTGTCTAAATTCTGTCAGAATATATTTATTCCGTAGACATTAGACTCCGTGTGATATTTACCTCGTTATAGCTAAACTTATCTTGAGAATATTTTAAACTTTATCTAAAATTATAAATAAAAAATATTTAATACAAGACTAGTTAAGTTTCAATATCATTATGTGTCTTTGGGGATAAATGGCTACGATGATTCATATTACTGTCAGTCAAGTCACGTGAGTTACCTCCCTTTAATAAGACAGCGGTCGGGTTTACTGAACAAAAGGCAATCAAATTATGAATTTATTTCAAAAGTAAACATATATCTCGATTTACAATATATAAATTAAAAAAAACTTTGACATAGCAATAAAGGTCTTTTTAATCGCCGATTATTCCAAGCATTTTAAAGTAGTATAGTATTCGACGCAATCAATTTCGGATACGTATACGTCAAAGAGAAATATTGGAACAAATGTTGTAAAAACGAATATTCGAATATATTCGAATATGGAAAACGAATATTCGAACATCGAATTCCTTATTCGTTCCCAGCCCTACTTTTCAATAAGCAAACATTCTATGCGGCCTGCATAGTTTTATCCCCCATTTACGTCACATCCGGTAAGGGAAGTAACTCTTCCCTGACTGTTATCACTTAAATGAAAGGGTCTATATTTTGACAGGAAAGCAGTACAGTAAGATTACCTTATTTTTATATTCTATTTTACAATCAGGAAATAGACCTGAAGTTTCGCCCTCCACAGGTTGAACAAAGTAGTGCAACTTCATCATTTAATTGTACAAAAAAGGCGGTTACGGAGTCAGAGAATTATACATGTATTGATCTCACTGAAGACAGTCCGAGTGACTCAACCGTTGGAAGATCTAAAGATGTCATTAGGCTTAGAAATAAAAGAATAAAAGTAAGTCCCCTTTTACAGGATAGTGTTTTACCTATTTTGTGATAAAAGTCTATGCATTTACAGTTTCTTTCTCAAGCATTTTATTGTGTCGCCTCTACAGCGACATATAGGGATCACTTCTCAGTCGTCTGTCCGTCCGTCTGTCCGTCCGTCACAAACTTGTCCGGACTACTTCTCACAAACTACTGGTGCAATTTCATCCAAACTTTACAGGAATGATCAGTACCAAGTCTATTTGTGCATATTGTCAGCAAATTCCGGTTCAATGAATTTTGTAAGAGTTATGGCCCTTTAATAATTTTCATCTTTAAAGTTTGTCCGAACTACTTCTCTTATACCACTAATGCAATTTCAATGAAACTTTACAGGATTGATCTGTAGCTCAAGTCCTTGCGCATATTGCACGGGTTTTCCGGTTGAATGATATTTGGCCGAGTTATGGCCCTTTGATAAAAAGTTTTTTTTTTCTGTGTGTTGCCAGATACACAAAAGCTTGTCCAGACTACTCCTCATAAACTACTGGGACAATTTCATCCTAACTTTACAGGAGTTTATGTCGCCACTACCCGATCACTTCTCAGTCACAAAACTTGTTTTAACATGAAATTGGCCATCATGAGGTGACACATGTGATCACTGATCGCTCGTTTTGTTATAAAATCTTGCTTATGCAAGAACTACATCAGAACTTAGTACATGTTTTTGACTACATGTATTGATTAAGGCTGTTATTAAAGATCATTTCTTAAGTTTTGCATATATATAAGTCTTATAATGCAGGGAGATAGTTGTAGGTCATGGCTGACTATATGGCCTTAGGTTATAAATTAGTGAAGACCTTACTCATTAACTTTCTGAAATTGGGAGTGATGATAGCATTGTAACCATGCAGACAGGCTAGCATGCACATCCATATAGTAAATGACAAGGTTCAAGGTCTTTTAATGTCGCCTCTACGGAGTAGTGGCGACATATAGGGATCACTTCTCCGTCATCTGTCCGTCCGTCTATCTGTCTGTCCGTCCGTCCGTCCATCACAAAACTTGTCCGGACTACTGCTCATAAACTACTGGTGCAATTTCATCCAAACTTTACAGGAATGATCAGTACCAAGTCTATTTGTGCATATTGTCAGCATTTTCTGGTTCAGTGATTTTTGTCATTGTTATGGCCCTTTAATAATTTTTAAGTTTGTCCGGACTACTTCTCTTATACCACTAATGCAATTTCAATGAAACTTTACAGGATTGATCCATAGCTCAAGTCCTTGCGCATATTGCACGGGTTTTTCGGTTAAATGATTTTTGGCCGAGTTATGGCCCTTTGACAAAAAGGAGTTTTTTTCTGTGTGTTGCCAGATACACAAAAGCTTGTCCGAACTACTCCTCATAAACTACTGGTGCAATTTCATCCAAACTTTACAGGAATGATCAGTACCAAGTCTAGTTGTGCATATTGTCAGCATTTTCCGGTTCAATGATTTTTGTCAGAGTTATGGCCCTTTAATAATTTTTATTTTTAAAGTTTGTCCGAACTACTTCTCTTATACCACTAATGCAATTTCAATGAAACTTTACAGGATTGATCTGTAGCTCAAGTCCTTGCGCATATTGCACGGGTTTTCCGGTTGAATGATATTTGGCCGAGTTATGGCCCTTTGATAAAAAGGTCTTTTTTTCTGTGTGTTGCCAGATACGCAAAAGCTTGTCTGGACTACTCCTCATAAACTACTGGTGCAATTTTATCCAAACTTTACAGGAATGATCAGTACCAAGTCTTGTTGTGCACTGTCCGTCTGTCTGTCTGTCTGTCACAAAATTTGTCCCAACATGAAATTGGCCATCATGAGGTGACACATGTGATTACTGATCGCTCTTGTTTCCTCTTTAGGGTCTTAATGACCCGATCATTAGAATTTTTTTTACAAAAATTGGGAAAATTACATTGCAATGAAAAATATCAATAGAATAAAAAAATTCATTAAAAATCTACCAAAATAACACCGTACTAACGCCCTTTCGTAATTAAGGTTTTGGAATTATTTTGGGAGAGCTGTTGTTTTTGCCTGTCTGCATTCATCTTGTCCTGTTTGGCTGACCAGTTTTCAATGAAAATAAAATCACAGGAGTGATCAGAACCATCTGTAGTTGTGAATATAATTTGCCAGCATGTTCTGCTTCACACCAAGACCTATAAATAAAAAAATTCTGTCTGACTTTCATGCAGCCCCCCCCGGTTAAATCAATAGGTAGAGCGTTGGACTGTGAATCGAGCGACCTTGGTTCGATTCCCGGACAGCACAGGTCACTTTTGTTGGGATTGATCATGAAATCTTTTCTACGGTCATCCGCATTATACCTCTGCTCTGGTATGTAGAGAAGTTCAGTTCCTTGCGAAAGTGAAGGCAACTAGTACTGGTAAACTGATTGACAGCCTGCCCAGGAACGATGCGGTGGTTGAACTGTGCTCTGCTGAATTCAATGTTGCTTATTGCAATGATCCGGAGTGAAAACAATCAACACCACCACTAGAGGTGCAACGATACCTTTCGATGCATCGAAAACCGGTTTTATGAGCGCCGATTCGATTCCCGATACCAACTGTAACATTTTCGATTCGATTCCACACCCACAAATAAACATGGAAAAAAGTGAGAGTTTTAGTCTTTCCCTTCACGCTTCATCACGTTACATAGGATTGGCCAGTTAAAACTCGGTCATCCAATCAGTGGGCGCGTAATGTTTTATTTTCGGCAAACAAGTATAAATGGCTACCAACATCAATGTTGATAAAATAAAATTAAAAAATCTTCCTAAAAAATTAAAATCAAAAAAGTTTGGGAACATTTTGGGTTTCGGGAAGGCCAGGACACGGATAAAGCTACTTGCAAAATATGCTTTACGGACGTGTCATATCCAAAGTCCTGCAGTACGTCTAATTTAATGCAACATATGAAACGAAAACACGAACACGATCATGGATGTGGACTTGTTTTGTAAGCTTTATCCGTGTCCTGGCCTTCTTAAAATAAGTTTGATTAGTACTACAGTAAGTAGGCATATTTGGGATTGATGATTATTTCTTTAGTCAAGTGTGAAAAAAAGTGATTATTTCATGAATTTCATTTTTTCTGTATTGTTTACTAGACTAAGAAGTATTGTGTGACAACACTGGCATTACGATTGATTATTCATTTTACATATTATGGGAATTAATTTATAAACAGAATTTCTGAATATTCATTTTACATATTATGGGAATTATAAACAGAATATCTGAATATCAGTTCTGACAACCTTGTGAAACTTTGTTCATTATCATTTACTTTACAATTTACATACTTTGTTAAATTTCTAGTCAGTAGTCAGCAGAAGGTATCTGTGATAGTCATGTTACTGAGATTAATGATTATTTGCCTGATTAAAATTATTTTCCAAATAGACAAGAGCTTTTTATTCTCATAAACACAATTATTAAGTCAAATAAGTTTATATAATAGTTATATTACAACAGAAAAGCAAAGCACTAGGTTGAAGGCCACTCACTTTTGGAACAGACAAGCAGAATTATATACCAAAGATAAATTAGTAATAAAAAATGTATCGAATCGAAAAAAATCGAATCGAAGTGTCTAAAATCGAAATCGAATCGAACATTTGGTGTATCGTTGCAGCCCTAACCACCACCACCACCAACTTTCATGCATGTGGAATTTCAATGAAACTATACAGATTTTTCTGGTTGATTTTTTAAAAATTATACCTATATATGATTGCTACTTAATAGTACCTCCCTTTTAAAATGTGGCATTTAAGAACCACAACAAGACTAGAGGTGCAATTTATAATGATTCACTCCGATGCATTGAATGTTTTGTTGGCACCATCTCGAAAATCACTGTTTCTGTAAAAGCAAGATTTATATTTATGATCTTGCATTAAAATACATTAATCAATATTTGAATTTACATCAAAAGTGTTATATTGACCATTGTTTTATCCTTTCCAATGATTTTGACACCAAACTGAAAGGATTTTGATGAGTATTTTTGTAAATATTGACTTTTGACTTTTGACATAAAATGTGTAAAATGAATGTGTTTTTCTTCAACCTGATTAAATTATGAGTCTTTAAAATATTTGTACATTCTTAAAAATCTTTGGTGAACATACATGTTATAAGCAGATTATGGCAGCAGTAAAGCCTAATTTTAAGCAACATGTTCTCTTAAGCTTAAGCCCTGCAAAAGAATTCATCAAGTAATTTCAAAATTTATGAATGAATCATAGGCTTAAACCTAACCACTGCTGCCTGGCCAGCTTTTTATACATGTTTCAAGACTGTGCCCTTTAGAATTTTTGTCCTATCACAAGGGGCCGATATAAGGCCCATTCCCAATCAAGAATAGCTCTTTATTTACCCAAATTTCAATATAATATTCTCAACTGATGCCAATTAAATCAACATTTTTGAACAGTTTAGAATTTAGATTGAACTATTTAGATATTTTTCTTTAAAGTTGTGACAGGCTTTATATGATAATACATATATCATGTATATATATAAATAAACTAAAAAGCCATGTATAAGGTTGTTTTTCAACATTTTTAAATTTTTAAATTTAACAAAATGCTGCATATTTTTTCCCAATTTGAGTCAAGGGATTTTCCCCCAAATTACCCGGGAAAAGCCCAGTGTACCCTTAGTGTCAGAGGTACATTAGTAGAAACGTCACATGTTGTAACTCTAAAAATGTCTTCTACTGCAATTTACCTTAATTACTAAAAACATTATTGAATGGCTAATGCCTAACCTAAGCATTAAGAATTACTGTAGGAATGGCCAGACCAGAGACACTGGGTGTGAAATTCCAAACACCTTATATTAATTAATTCAAATAAATTGTATATTTGTCAAACAGCATTTAGTGCTCGCCAATTTTTTTAAGCCAATCACCGACGAGGATTTTTCAAATTTTCAGGTTTCAAATCTTAATACAGTCGACTCTCGTTATCTCGAAGTCATTGGGACCGTCCAAAAAATATCGAGATAACGAAATGTCGAGATAAACATATTAGGGTTAGAACAAGGCGAAACTGATTTTTACAAAAGACATGTGCATACCTTATGTCAAATAAACTATAATATCCCCATGTCTTGTTTTCATAGGCCTAGTCAATATTTAACAAAGTAACATAAGCGGATGTTTACCAGCGGAAATACGGGTGTCTGTGATAAAAACCTATAGTGAGGTTTACTCAGTAATACACCAATATAGTGAATCGGATATCGGATATGGTTGATCCGGATATCCTCCCGGGTTATTTATCGGGTCTTTCTCGAGATTGTTCCACCGCTGATTGATTTGGTGGTGATGTTGTGAAACAATATTGCAACGATAGCGTTTCTATACTTTCACTTTTTCATTTACATTTAAAGTCATAATAAATTGATACAGTGTTCGAATATTTAAAAAGAATGTAAAATTCACTCATTGTGGACATAAGTCAATCAACACGCTAAATAGATTAACTTTTATAAAAACAGCTAAACTTGTTACAAACATAATCGTCATTATGACACACGCTATTAATTGAGCAATTATCGTCTAGATTGTGTTTTTCACACGTCTGAAGGGAACAGACGAAGTCGAGATAAACAAAGGATAATAGTGTGGAAATAACTGTTGGGGCTGAAATTTTACATCGAGATACTGAAAATATCGAAATAGAAATATCGAGATAAACAAATATTTCCAATATAGATAAAGACGGAAGAAAATCGGGACTTTCAAAATTTCATCGAGATAACGAAATATCGAGAAAAGCGATGTCGAGATAACGATAGTTGACTGTAGAACAGATTTTATATAAACTGGACGTTTTATATTATAAAACGCAAGTGGGCGGAGCTAAGTTTCGAAGAGCGCTAAAGTGAAATATATGCATGTGCAGAGATCTTGAAGTTTACTCCTACTAATCAATATTTATGCATCATGTTTTTCCGTACACGCACATGTATATCGTCACTACGGCATAAAATTAAAAAAAGAGGTTCATTGAAATGATAACAGGCAAAATAACAGTAAAAATGTTTTATTACTTACGGAACCAGTATCATTTCATAATTTCCAAATAAAAAGTTCACTTATTCCAACAAAGTATGTAGGCCTATGTAATATTTCTTACTTTTTATGTAAATATTACAGCCCGTGCCGCTGCAAAACCGAAAGTAGGGTGTTTTTATTAATTTTACATTTATTTTTGACAATATACTGCCATTTGTCCGAATATGATATGTATATGAACATAATAAACATGTATGCTGCATATATAATCAAGCTACAGGTTCATTTCAGCCCGAAAAATAGGTCGAGGTGACGGGCGAGGCAAGACATGTCTACTTTTTGTAGCTTATTGTGAAGTTGCAGTACATGAAAATCGGGCACATGACATATCAGCACATAAATAAAACATTCTAGTGTTCCGTGGTCATACCTCCTTTTCTTATTACAATGAATTTTTACTGCATTGTTATCCATCGCTGATTTGTTTTTAGCAGAGAATGACCTGTGTATGTTCAAAGAGGGTACCGTTTGAGAATATTTCGCAGAGGGTACCGATATGGATATGCACTGTGATATTGTCTGATTTACCTAGACAGAATGCGGGAATAAGCTATGCAAAACACGTGACCCGAAAATGTGTACCGCTACCTCTTCCAAATATGGTTATACACATTTAGGCTATCGTGTGACGTCACGCAGTGTGTTGGGCGGAAAAAAATGGGCGGAGCACTAAGCCGGTTAGAGTGCATATTCTCCGCTCCTTTTTAGCTTTCTTATTTACGAAGAACACCCAATATGCACTCCAACCTATACATACACTCATATATCTATAAAACTTAATATAACTTTAAAAAAAGTTGAATGAAAAAAAATTATTATGTGAAAAAATGCCCTGAAAGGTCACTTTTTCCAAAAATAAATAATTACATGTATATGAAAAAAATGCTCTGAAAAGAATTTTTTCAGCAGGGTAAATGCATTAAATGAATTCAGCAGGTTAAGAATTACATACATGTATGAGCCGAAAAGTTATAGCATAATAATTGTAAATTAGAGCAAATAAGGTTTTATTTTTTAAGTTACCCAGAAAAAGAATTTGTATCCATCATATTTTTTATTTATTTCAGATTCAAATTCCAATGGCGCCAAGATCTTTTTATAGTCTTAGAAGTAAGTGTGCATTATGACAGTTCTTTTATTGCAAATATTTTGGACACTTAAATTAAGCTCATATTAAAGATTCTAATTGCAGATTTTAGATGAATTGACAGATTTCATAGATTTGTGGCAGTGAAGCCCATTTATATATAGCTTTAAAATTTAAAAATGACATAATAATTTGTTGAGAAAGTGGCTAAAATTGTGTTCTATTTTCGAAAGACAACAAATAAAAAAATAAGTATACAAGCCTAAAATCTTAACATGAAGAATATAAAAGCAACATTACTTTTTATTTGGTCGCCAATGTAAAGAATGTATTTTATGTATATTGAAGTAGAGCATCAGATTAAATAAAATGAGCCGTGTCATGACAAAACCAACATAGTGCGTTTGCGACCAGCATGGATCCAGACCAGCTTGTGCATCCGCGCAGTCTGATCAGGATCCATGTTGTTTGCTACCAGTTTCTCGACTTGTAATAGGGTTGGTAAGCGAACAGCATGGATCCTGATCAGACTGCATGGATGCGCAGGCTGGTCTGGGTCCATGCTAGTCACAAACCCATTTTGTTGGTTTTGTTGTGACGTGGCTCAAATGTTTTTTTTTGGGAAGGGGGAAATAGAGGAATTCAAAATGAAGCTACATGTATTCAAACCAAGGAAATCCCCTTGAAATTAAAAAAAGGGTTGGGGGGTATTAAAGTATAAAGATGGGAAAAGGGTGAATAAATTTAAAAGCAGGGGTTTTTTTACTAAAAGATCTTCTTTTATAAAGTTAACATCCCCATTTTGTGTAACAATAAAGGGAAAATTTTTTGTTTGGCCATAACTAAAAAGTAAAAAGTCCTTTTTGAAATAGTTTTAATTGTTTTACTCATGATACAAACGAATGTGTTTAAAATTCCTTTTATCTACAGTAACTATATTTTTGGTTTTGAGGTACACCTGTTTTGACAATTTGTACTGTACTCTGAAACATCTGCTGACCAGGATATTTTGGTCTATACAATTATTAACAGTCACTGCTATGGGTTTGAATACCACCAGGGCCTCTGGATTATTTCATGTGAGAAAGCTACCCAGCTAGCTGAAGAAATGTCGGTTGTTCTACACAGGTGTTTGTCTATGCCGGAAATAATGCACAGAAGGGTCATGGCCTTAAAGTTGCACAGTCGCCAATTGACCATTACAGTGTTGGTGCGACATAAACCTAACAGCAAATGTTACTTGACATTTTCGAAATAGGTTTGTCTCCAAAAAATTTGTTAAGTACAGAAAGCTTATTTTCTGTGACAAAATTGAAGTGAGTAATTGTTGCATCATATAAAATGTTTGTACTGGTTGGTCGGTCCAGACGTCCGTTGCATTTTCCTTGTCCGGAGCATAACTTGAAGACTAATGGTTGGAATTCAATATAACTACATACAATGGTCAAGCACATTGAGAGGAAGTGCAGTGCACAAGAACCATAACTCTATCTTGACTAATTACAGAGTTATTGCCCTTTGTTACTTTTCCTTGTCCGGGGCATAACTTGAAATCTACTGGTTGGAATTCAAAACAACTTCATACAATTGTCAAACACAATAAGGAGAACTGCAGTGCACAAGAACCATAACTCTATCTAAAGTTATTACAGAGTTATTGCCCTTTGTTACTTTTCCATTGCTTTCTTTTGTCCGGACCATAACTTGAAGACTAATTGTTTCAATTCATTATAACTTCATACAATGGTCAAGCACATTAAGAGGAAGTGCAGTGCACAAGAAACATAACTCCATCTTGACTAATTACAGAGTTATTGCCCTTTGTTACTTTTCCTTGTCCGGGGCATAACTTGAAATCTACTGGTTTGAATTCAAAACAACTTTATACAATTGTCAAACACAATAAGGAGAAGTGCAGTGCACAAGAACCATAACTCTATCTAAAGTAATTACAGAGTTATTGCCCTTTGTTACTTTTCCATTGCTTTCTTTTGTCCGGACCATAACTTGAAGACTAAATGTTTCAATTCATTATAACTTCATACAATGGTCAAGCACATTTAGAGGAAGTGCAGTGCACAAGAAACATAACTCCATCTTGACTAATTACAGAAATATTGCCCTTTGTTACTTTTCCTTTGTCAGAGCATGACTTGAAAACTACTGATTGGAATTACAAACAACTTCATACAATGGTCAAGCACTATAAGAGGAAGTGCAGTGCACAAGAACCATAACTCCATCTTGACTAATTACAGAGTTATTGCCCTTTGTAACTTTTCCATTGTTTTTTTTTGTCCGGTGCATAACTTGAAGACTAATGGTTGGAATTCAATATAACTTCATACAATGGTCAAGCACATTGAGAGGAAGTGCAGTACACAAGAACCATAACTCCATCTTGACTAATTACAGAGTTATTGCCCTTTGTTACTTTTCCTTGTCCAGAGCATAACTTGAAATCTACTGTTTGGAATTAAATACAACTTCATACAGTTGTCAATGACGTCAAAAGGAAGTGCAGTGCACAGGAGCCATAACTACATTTTGACAAAATACAGAGTTACTGCCCTTTGATACTTTTCTTTGTCCGGAGCATAACTTAAAACATACTGGTTGGAATTCAAAACAACTTCATACAATGGGCAAGCATAATAAGAGGAAGTGCAGTGCACAAGAACTATAACTCCATCTTCAGTATTTATAGACTTATTACCCTTTGTTCCTTTTCTTTGTCTCTCTGGACAGAGTAATTCAATTCAACTTCATCAATGGCCAACCACATTGAAAGGAAATGCAACATACAAGAACCTCAACTATCTTTAATTGCCCACAACCATAACTCTATATTTGAATTCTTTTACAAGGTATTCTGTTACTAGTAACATCCTCATTTCCGAAGCAGTCTTGTGGGGGTATTAATCACATTTAGTGATAGTTCTAGTTTTAAAAGTATAATTCTCTATAATCAAAGCTTGAGTAAAATTAAACTTAAATATACTGTATATAATTATAGCATGAGTAAAATTCAACATTGATATTAAGATTCTAATTTCAGGTCAGGCGGGGAATGGGGATGTGTAATTGATGGTAGTTACTGTTAAGCATGTTAACACTTTGAAGATGAACATTTTCACTAAATGGGGTGCTTTTGCTTTGTTTTACAAATTTGAGTGCTGTTAACTAGTTATATACAGTTTTCAATTAATGATAACTATCTGTTATCAATGTAAAAATTGAAATGTTCAAACATATTGCTTCATTGTGATCACTATTTTGTATACATTTTATAAAATTTGTATTAACCCCCCCCCCCCTCTTACCTGCTGAATTTCTTAAATGGACTTAACCAGTTATTTTTTTGGCATGGTCAGGAAGTACTTTTTGGGGGGATATCAAGATGGGAATTGAAAGTTACTTGACAATTGACAGTGTAGAGCCTGGTAAGTCTGCATGCATGTGTAATCTCTATACTCAGGTGGCAATAGCTGGACACTAAAGTTTTCTGCAGGTTAAATTGGGCATGAAGTACTATTACTAGCATATTCTAACCACTATGGTTTATGATATAATTTGCATAAGACTGTATAATGATTTGTTTGCACATCTGTTTTGAGGAAAAAAAAACTGTACTGTACTGTAGGCCATCATTCAAACATTTAATACATCATCAACATGAAACTTAGAATACTGTATTTTTGGCGTTGTTCCCCTTTTTCACTTTTTTTTCTGTGGGGGGGGAGGGGAGGGGGGGACTGGTTATTGCACCAAACAAGATGAGTTTTAACACTGCATGTCACTGTGGTGCTCTAGTTTTTGTGTCGCCTCTACAGAGTAGTGGCGACATATAGGGATCACTTCTCCGTCGTCCATCTGTCCGTCCGTCACAAAACTTGTCCAGACTACTACCGGTGCAATTTCATCCAAACTTTACAGGAATGATCAGTACCAAGTCTAGTGTGCATATTGTCAGCATTTTCCGGTTCAATGATTTTTGTCAGAGTTATGGCCCTTTGATAATTTTTATTTTTAAAGTTTGTTCGGACTACTTCTCTTATACCACTAATGCAATTTCAATGAAACTTTACAGGATTGATCTGTAGCTCAAGTCCTTGGGCATATTGCATGGGTTTTCCGGATGAATGATTTTTGGCGGAGTTATGGCCCTTTGATAAAAAGGTGTTTTTTTCTGTGTGTTGCCAGATACGCAAAAGCTTGTCTTGACTACTCCTCATAAACTACTGGTGCAATTTCATTCAAACTTTACAGGAATAATCAGTACCAACTCTTTTTGTGCATATTGTCAGCATTTTCCGGTTCAATGATTTTTGTCAGAGTTATGGTCCTTTAATAATTTTTATTTTTAAAGTTTGTCCTGACTACTACTTTTATACCACTAATGCAATTTCAATGAAACTTTACAGGATTGATCTGTAGCTCAAGTCCTTGTGCATTTTGCATGGGTTTTCCGGTTGAATGATTTTTGGCTGAGTTATGGCCCTTTGATAAAAAAAGGTGTTTTTTTCTGTGTGTTGCCAGCTTGTCTGGACTACTCCTCATAAATTACTGGTGCAATTTTATCCAAACTTTACAGGAATGATCAGTACCAAGTCTAGTTGTGCACTGTCTGTCCATCTGGCACAAACTTGTCCCAACATGAAATTGGCCATCATGAGGCAACACATGTGATCACTGATTGCTCTTGTTGTTGATACTTATTCCAATTGAGTCACTTTATTCTCAAGGCTTTAGTATGTTCCAAATTGTCTTTCAAATCAGTTGATTAACATGTAAATGATTATACATAACTATACTATTGATACTTTTATAATAATTTTTATATGATTGTGTAAATTATTAACGTGATTGATTATTTTTAAATATGTATTATTGATTGATTGGTTGATTTGTTGATTATTTTTAATGACTGATTGCTAGATTGATTATTGATTATTGTTTAAAGCATCATGCTTGTTAAATTTTATTTGTGAAATAATTCTAGTCCTAAACATAAGTATTTTATTATCATTTATTGTTTCTATGCTCCCAAAGCGTCCATCCATCTGTCTGTGTGTCCCAAGTCTTAATACAACATTCAGGTCTGCACTGTAACTCTGTAAGTTTATCATGCATGGAAAGATTTTAAAATATCTTGGCACAAAAGTGTCTACAGTACCACTTCATGACTTTCTTTAAAGCATACTTTAGGATATAAAATTGAGATTTGAAATTCATAATATTGGGAATATTCAAGGTGTCAGCATTTATTCAAGGTGACAGCATTGGAAAAAATGGATGTTATTTTTATGCCCAGCCACTTGGATGTATAGGGATTCATACAGAATTTCCTTTGTCTGTCCCCTTGTCATATTGTCCTGTGACAGTAGTTGTGGGGGCATCTGTGGGTGGTTTTTTTAGGGTCTCCACTGGGATTTTTTGACATGATAGAACATGAAATATATATATATGTGCAGAATTTCAGAACATAACTGGAACAGAGTTTGATAATATTTTCTAATTTGGTAAACTTTTTAATAGGTTTCAAAGTACACCTCACAAAAATTAACCCAAGGCATTTATTTGCTAATAAGCCACTGACTGATTGAGAAAAATTGAAAAATGGTTAATATATCAACAGAAAATATATATAAGATAATTCATATTTTTAAATGTAAAAATTGTTCAGTGTAATGTTAAGTCTTTGAACTGAACAATATTTAGATGTGTCAATATTTTAAATATATACACCAAGGTAATTATATCCCCACCACAAAATGTGTGGGGGGGGCTATAATGGATTCGCTTTGTCGCTTCCGTCTGTCGGTCAGTCCGTCCGTCCTCAACAAGGTCAATGCATGCTGGTCGCAAACCCATTATGTTGGTTTTGTCGTGACACGGCTCATATTGTTCCTTGGGTGAGTTTGTATAGCTTGAATGATTACACTAACCTTGAGACAGGCTAATTTGAATATATTCAAAATTTCCAATTATTTCTTCAAATTATATTCAGTAGTGATGTAGATGTGTACACTGAAAAAATCATCCTTAATTGCCATGAATCTGATGCAACAGGCTGCTTTAAATATTTAAACATTTCTGATTATTTCTCTTAATTATATTAAGTAAGATGCAGATCTAAAGATTAATTAATATTTAATTAATTATGTAAATTAATATTTAATTAATTATGTATTGATCATAAATGAATAAATATCTATCAGTATGTTTGAACCAAATGAATATATGTATATTTTCTGACATTCTATCATTGAATTTCATTTGCATGTCAATTAAATTATTTACTTCAATTCCCTGTCTATTAAAAGATTTTTGTTGAATAATCATAGTTATAATTTAAGGACGTACCAATATTATCAACAAAAAAAAAAGCATTTATATTCATGTTCACAATAAATGGTAGTGCTTTAATGTGAATGGCAAGTAATAAATGCCACAACGTTACCCATTTTTTGTCAGACATAAACGTGTTGTAAAATTATTTTCAAAACACTGTACCCTCTGACAGATCTAAATACTTTGCATAAAATAACTGTTGTTTTTTTTCAAACCAGTATACGTGTTTATGTTATGTAATATTCTATAATAGTTTAGTACTGCCCTTCCTTTGCATGACCCTTTTTATAATATTATATAAATAATTCATGTTCATTGATTTATTGATGCATTTCCTGAATTGATATTTTTTGTATCAGAATGATTCTTAATTTTTGATAATAATAGATATTTATATCAGAATGATTCTCAATTTTTGATAACAATAGATATTTATATCAGAATGATTCTCAATTTTTGATATATCAGAATGATTCTCAATTTTTGATAATGATAGATATTTATATCAGAATGATTCTCAATTTTTGATAACAATAGATATTTATGCCCCCACAAAGTGGGGAGCATATACCGTTGCACTTGTCCGTCCGTCCATACATGTGTCCGTACGTCCCGAAATCTTGTGAACGCAACTCCTCTTAAAACGGATGGCAGATTTTGCTTGATGAACAACCTTAATGTGTAGATGGTAGTTAAAAGAAAGGAATTTTGGCTGTGACTAAATTTAACAGAATTATGGCCCTTTGTTGATTTTTTCACTATATACCATATATAGGGCATCCGTGTCCTTTGGACACAGTTCTAGTTATATCACAATGATTCTCAATTTTTGAAAATGATAGATATTTATATCAGAATGATTCTCAATTTTTGATAACAATAGATATTTATATCGGAATGATTCTCAAGTTTTGATAACATTAGATATTTATATCAGAATGATTCTCAATTTGTGTTAACAATAGATATATATATCAGAATGATTCTCAATATTTCATAATAATAGATATTTATATCAGAATGATTCTCAATTTTTGATAACAATAGATATTTATATCAGAATGATTCTCAATATTTTATAATAATAGATATTTATAAATATTTTCATGCATGAGTTTTATCATTTTTGACTTAATGAGTTTTTTCTAACATGATTTTAGCTTGAATTTTTAAAGAAAGAAAAGAGCTATTGCTACAGTCATGTTGTGATGTTGCCATCCGAAACAATGACCTTGACCTTCTAAGGTCAAACACTTGAATTTTGCTTGATTTTTGCTATAATGGGCCAGATCTATAACTTTGTTATTTTTAAATTGAAAGTCTTCAGGCTTGGACAAAATATCCTTTAGACAAGACTTTCATGTAGACCTTGACATGGAATGTAACATTTTTACTGTTTTTATGCTATAACTGGCTGTAAATGCGTTATGATGCCCCCTAGGAAGAAGAGTGGGTATATTGCTTTGCTAATGTCAGTCTGTTCCTCTGTAGACCACATGGTTTCCGCTGATTATCTTGAAAACTATTTATCACAATGTGTTCATATTTCACATAGTGATTGGTCATAACCAGTAAATGACCCCTATTGATTTTGGGTCACTTGGTCAAAGGTCAAGATCACAGGGGCTTGAATTGTCAGAATGGTTTCTGCTGATTATCTTGAAAAGTGTTCATCACAAAGTCTTCATATTTCACATAGTGATTGGTCATTACTAGTAGATGACCCTTATAGATTCTGGGGTTACTATGTCAAAGGTCAAGGTCACAGGGCCTTAAAAGACAGAATGGTTTCCGCTGATGATCTTCACAAAGTCTTCATATTTCACAAATTGATTGGTCATTTTGGGGTCAATAGGTCAAAGGTGAAGGTCATAGGGGCCTTGAACGGTAGTATGATATCTGCTTATTATCTTGGTTACTAAGTCTTAATATTTCACATATTGATTGGTCATTACAAGTGGATGACCCCTATTGATTTTAGAGTCACGAGGTCAAAGGTCAATGTCACAGTGTCTTTGAATGGTAGAATAGTTTCCGCTCATTATCTTGAAAGCTATTTATCACAAAGTCTTCATATTTCTAATATTGATTGGTCATAGCTAGTAGACGGCCCCTATTGATTTTGGTTTACTAGTTCAAAGGTCAAGGTCACAGGGGCCTTAATTGTCAGACTGGTTTCAGCTCATTATCTTGAAAACTATTTATCACAAAGTCTTAATTATGTTTCTTTTTTCAATAATTGAAGACTTCCATATACCCATTTATGGCAAGTTTCTATAACAAAATTAAGTTTGACATTTCTTGTTTATGAATGGATTGTCTTCAAAATTGGACAAAGCAATCCTTAGGAAAAGACTTTTATTTAGACCTATTTGACCTTCACTCTTCAATGACTTTGACCTTAAAAGTCGAATTATTGAATTTTGCTTGATTTTTTCAGTAAATGGTTATTACTTTGTTATTTATAAAATGTCTCCATACTTTTGCACATCTAGAAGACAATGTTTAAAAAAAGACCAAACTGATTTGACATTGACTCATAATGACATTGACCTTGAATGTCATATTATTGTAATTTCAAAGTTATTTTGCTATAATTGGCTTAACATGGTAATTACAAAATATGTCTTGTCCCATAGATTACTGTGGCACAATTTAATTAAACTTGATTTGATCTTGACACTTCATGTTAAGTAACAATAGTTTTGTTGTTTATTTACGTTTATGATGTATACTCATGAAAAAAAGATCTCTTATAAAGAATACTGACATGTTAAGTATTTAATGTGTGACCTTGACTGTCAAGGTCAAATATTGAATTTAGCTAAAATAGTCATATCTTTGCAACTTTGTGATTTATTCCCTCCTATATGTACTCAGACAAAAGAAACCCTTATGATCAAACCAATATACTAAATTATTCTGATATGACTTTGACCTTAAAGTGACCTTGATCATTAAGGTTAGTTAATGAAACTTGTTAACATTGTCATATCTTGTGATTTTATTTATGGATGTGATTCATACATGGACAAAATAGCACATATATTGAATTATCACCTTAACCCGTAATTGACCTTTACTGTTAAGGTCAAGACAAATAACTTTGTTATCTTTTTATGGATTTTGTTCATTATTGGACAAAAGAACACTTATGAAAAAAAACTGACAATAATGGTTAATTCAAATTTGACCTAGACCTTTGAATGACCTTGACCATCAAGGTTAAATATGAAATTTGTATTATAGTTTGTTTGAGACGGTGATATTTTCTAGGAGTATTCTTTACTGCAATATTCTTTCTTCAAGGTATTTGGCCACACAAGTAAGAAAAGTCGAGTGTGGTCCCTGTCTGGCAGTAGGTCTTGTTTATTGTTATAATTATTAAATTTTGATCTCTGATATGTATTTATGATTAGATATACAATATTAAATCTATGTGTCAATCATGCTTTTCTAAATGTATTTGGCAATATAAAGTAATCAAAATAACAACTATAACAACAAATACAGTAACATGTCTTATCTAAATCAACATAGCTTTAATTTGGGCATGGTCAATAAAAAATGTTGTTTACTTACAGTATCATTATTGTGTTCAAGAAATTTTAAAACAAAATAAAAACCTGTTTCAGTTTACCAATGTTTTGTGTTTTTCTTGTTTGTTAACAAGTCATTACTGTTTGTTTACTGTTAACTGCATGAGTGTTACATAAAGCTATATATGTTTAATTATTATATATAAAATGTGATATTTTTAGCTATATATAGGGCACAGTGTGCCCCTTTTGTAATAGCTGTATTTGATTATCAAATGATACAAGATTGTTGATAAAAGTGTTACATGTATATAGTATTTTTGTTATATAGATTGTTCTTTTAAGAAACAGTTGCCAGAATAAAATAGTTAACGCTAATAGTGCTTCATTACTTTCTTGAAAACCTATATTTCGTTTAGTGCAAATTATATAATGAATGGTTTGTTCCATTTACGTTTTAAATGGCACCTATCAGTATACCAAACAGCTGTAAACTGTTGTTTATTGGTAAATTTCCTTACATGGCAATTTTTTTTTAGTTTCTTGCGTGTATAAGGATTAATTACATGTATATATATGCATCACAACTTTTGTCATTAAGCTGTACCATTTTATTGACCCAATCTGACTACAAAACGTCAATGGTTTCACTCGGGTACACATTTGTGCCTGAAATAATGCATGTAGGTTACCTAAGGTCTTCCTCCACCAGCTAAGAAATCGGCAAATGACCCTTTCCTGCGTTAGCCGACTTTTTCCCAAATACAACAAAAAATAAGATATTTCCTCTTCTGAATTCGTGTAATGGACTTGCCTCCTTTTGAATTTGGAACATTCCATTTGCAGTTTTAGGTACTTCAGTATCAAAATTATAGCAACATTAAGCCGCTGAGACTGCAGTCTGTCAGTTTAGCATGGCCTAGTTACTGGTAACTTAGCCTGAATGTTGAAGGAGCTCCTCTGTAGTCAAAAGCTTTCTAAAAATATTGAATTTTTGTTTTGTTTACAAATATTAAGTAAAGCACTAAAATGAAAGCAGGTGTAAAGGATACAAAATATTCTGATTAAATTGAAAATCAGGAACATGTAGTTATAGTTCATTTCTTAGCCCGAATTAATGATTCTGCGATTTGCAAGCATGATATTATCACATGTAGATTATATAGTTCGTCATGAATTGTAGATTCGGTCTATCGATCGGTGGCTTAAATACGTCAAGTTCATACAAACCAGGGGCGTACCTCGGCTTATTATGAGTGTACGATGAGCCCGTGCGTAATCGGTAGGTACGCCGCTGCAAACGCTTATAATAAATAAGGGAAGTGGAAGAGCTAGGAAGACTTTGACAGGTGACATATGTCTCGGTATAAGCAATCAAATACATATGTAGTTTATACTTTATGAGGGTCCAACTTCCCGTTAAGGCCCCAAAACAGCTCTTGCTTTGAGTAAGAACCTCGTGTCATTTGTGATGTCGTTATTAGTAAATGTTGAAGCAAAAAGTGGTAATAAATTACTTCAGAGAATTAGCCAAAGAAATGAACTTTGAACCGAATGTTGGCTACGGACATCGGCTTTAGTCAGGACATCGGCAGCTTGTCCGCAGGTACAAGATCTGGACTTGGATGCCCTTGAAGTGCACATGCCGATGTTAATGAGATTTGCAGCCGTTATACAGCAAAAAACCGTTTATATACAGCCATATAATCTGTCAGAAAGAGTGCGAATTTGTAATACTGCGCAAATGCTTATAAAATTTCTCTATATCTCTGCTTTTAAGGGAGGCTACTACATTAACTGTTCGGTTAACATAGTTATATGAGTTCACTCCCTTGTAACATATTTGATCTGTTCACTGAGTGAGTGAAATTCAAAAGGGACTCAATTGCGCCCCTATCTTTACAATTAAAATTACGCGCTGGTCGAAATGATAGTATTGTTTGATTAGTCACTGGCATTAGTATACAAAATAAAATGATAATAATATATATTTCACTTTCATTTTCCCTCTGAATAAAATCTTACTTTTTTACTACATCTGCAGACATAAACTCTGTACAAAAGTCGTTCAATATATACTCAAACCGAGTCTGCAATATTCATGTTATTTTGTTGTGATTATTGCTTGTTAAAAAGTTTGACTCTTAGTCTTTAAGTCGTAGGTTCGAGCAGTTCTCAGATTTCGCCCACGTTTCCCCCAACCCCAATAAATATGAAATCAGTACAGGTAAGTCCAGGAAACGGAATAACCATCAAAATGCTGAGTTTGCCAGTCTTTGAATTTGAAACAATCTATTCGAAGTTTAAGGCATTTCTATAATGATAAAAACAACTTATAAACAATTTAGCTACCAACAGTATACGGAACCGTGTCAGACAGGACGGATGTGCACACTGGCCTGATTCCATACCGGTGAATAGGTTAAGGATTAAAAGTGATTTAAATAAGTTATCATAAACAAAATGCTTTTATATTTGAACGCCTAAAATAATTCAAAACTTAAGTGATGAGCTTCATGTATATTACTAATACGTGCATGTCTTGCATTTCTAAATCTTTGAAATGCAAAACATTAATACGCTTTGAAATGATAATAACAATATTATGTTCCTTCTGCAATTTCAGCTTTGTTGTTTGTACTGTAAATAAGTTGAAAAAGTAAAAAAAAAAAAGAATCACTTTATTGTTAATCAAGCGCATTATTTACACTAGGGTGTTACCTGACAAAAATTGATTTGAACCGTGTCATGACAAAACCAATATAATGGGTTTGCGACCAGCAGGGATCCAGACCAGCCTGCGCATCCGCGCAGTCTGATCAGGATCCATGCTCTTCGCTATCAGTTTCTCTACTTGTAATATAGTTGGTAAGCGAACAGCATGGATCCTGATCAGACTGCGCGGATGCGCAGGCTGGTCTGGATCCATGCTGGTCGCAAACCCACTATGTTGGTTTTGTCGTGACGCGGCTCATTTTTCTTCCTTATATGATAAAAGGGGTATTCTAACTATTCTTGATCAAATGCAAGCATTTAAACGAAATGCACAAGTATTCAAATTGCAACTACTATTGAAAGAAAATAAAAAACCGGAAAAGTTTTCGCCGTCTAGTATTAGAATCAATACTACGGCTGTTAAAACTTGCTTGTTGCATAACAACTTTTGTCATTCTTTTATACATTCATTCATTCATTCATTCATTCATTCATTCATTCATTCATTCATTCACTCACTCAGACTAGTCACATATATGTGTGTGTGTTAACCAGAGACATAGATAACATGTTATCTATGTCTCTGGTTTGACGCTTAAGTTCACTACCAATGTAACCAGTGCAGACCATAGTCAGACAACATAAGGTCTGCACTGTCCGCTATTCATTCAGTGATTATTTTGATTTTCTTTTTTTTTCCACAAATTATTTAGCGTGGTAAATGTTAAAAATGATATCATTGTTTAGTTTCATGTACTTTTAAGGATTATATATTAACGTTGGCTTTATTTCATGCAATAGCTTGTAATTGTGATTGCATTTTTAATTTATTTTATTTGCATACTAAGTTTAAGAAAAGAAATCATAAATCAATCGTTCAAGTTGGCCAACCACGTGATTTGGGTAGCTTAGAAACCCACATGACCTTGATTTTGATTCGATTCTCAATTTAAGTATGTTTCTCATCGATAACTTTGCTGTTTTTTTTTTAATAAAAACTATTTAGGAATAATTATACATAAAGCATACCCCCTCCCCCAAAGGAAAGAATATTTATATATTTTCATATCCCAGGTGCAAAATATGACATTCATTACTATTTTTATCACCAATATTCAACACCGTTACTAACGGAATAGTGCTGCTCTTGAGAAGAGACAAAAAGTGCAGCTGACTTGGTTTAATCGGTTAATTTAGTAGTATTGCACAACACAACAATTTGCTAGCTCAAAAAACATCAACAATTTGATAGCTCAAATAACATTAACGTTTTGCTTTAACTAACACAATTTTATTACGCTTTTCAGCAATCTGACGCTGTCAGTCTGAACTCCAGCAAACAAAGTAGTATTCCACAACTATCGAAAGCGGAAGAACTTGCGCTCAAGCGATCAAGTTCTGAATTCGCTCATATAGGACATGTTAGTAGCTCGGTTTCATATTTTTAGAACTCATGTTATATTAGAAATTTATGTATCAATTTAAATTTTTGGTAGTCATTGTGCCACTTTTGTACTTATCTGTTCTATTTATGTATTGAAAATTTGTCGTCTGATAAAAAAGCAAACTGTGACATTCCTCGAAAATTGAAATAGAGGATGACTGTCAAACAGCTTGGTACCTAGACACTGATATATTCTGATGTTGAAACAAGACATTATTGAACTCTGCATTGGTACCAACATAATGATAAATTCTGCGTTGGTATCATTACAGTGATGAATTCTGCGTTGGTACCAATGAAATTATGTTTTCTGCGTTGGTACCAATAAACTGATGTTGTTTTTGGTACCGAAACACTGATATATTCCGTGTTGGTAAATAAACTGATAAAATCTGCGCTGGTACCAAGACACTTTCGCACCAAGACACTTTTGTTTACTGCATTTGAACTAAGACACTGGTGTTGTATGGGTCCCGTCTGATACCAAGATGTTTGCCAACACTATCGTGATCTTTCATTGCGTTGACAGGGTTAAATGTTGACTTGTTTGACTAGAACAATGATTAAAGAAAATCTGTCAAGTATGAAGAGCATATTTTAGTTAGTGGCAACAACTCAATTTAACCATGATTTTCACGTGGAAATACATGTATAATACACCGTCAGAAAGATTATTGATTTTTCTAACCAACAGTCTATTTACGCACGATATGCACGTGCAATAAAAGAACAGTTCAAACATACATTTTCGGAATAGATTATTGGGCTGAAAAATGTGTAGAGGTCTAACATTAATATTTTGAAGTACTCTAGTAATCATTTTTCACAGGTATGGCTTATTCGTAAAAAAAAACATAAAACAAAACAAAACAAAAACGCGCTGCCGTTGCCACTTATTGAGATATAATATGCCCCACGTATTCAAAATTTCTTTTATAAATGACATAATTATAAGGCCGATCATAGTAAAAATGTAAGTAAAATTTTAAGTGTATATAGTTATGTATCTGCTGCAAAAATTGCTGTTTGAATTTCTCAAAATAACCCTATGAAATAAATTTAGTAAAGCAAATGGCGCATGTTCGACGGATAACATTTGAGCATTTGAGTCTGTTTTCGAACAATATACATGTGTGTTGAATAACATAGACATTGTTAATAACCAATATAATTTTACTGTTGACAATTTTTATATAATATAAAAGT